CCGCGGCGCCGGCTGAGCAGGAGCCTGCTTTTTTTTTCGGGGTGGACAGAACCCCCAACAGTGACACGTCGACTAGTGAATTGTCCGTTTTCGGTTCTCGAGAGGGCGCCGTGGCCGTTATTTTCCAGGCTTGCGCCCGCCAGGTTTGGGCTTCAGGTCGTTTTCACTAAACCACGTCATACTAAAGGGGGGTCCGTCAATCCCCGATTTTTAGACTTGGGCAAGTTTATTTGCATGGCGTTCGCCCCCCCCCCCCCCCCCCCACCCACCCCCACCCCGTCGCCACTCTCCAAACGAATACTGTCGGGCAAGTGCCTTTCGACCTGCCTGATTTCCGCACGTGCAGGTCGTTTGCGGCTTGCCTGAGGTTCGGCCCCAGACATGGTCGCGTCGTAAAAAAAGCCGGACGGGAGGTTTTTTGCTATGTTCGGCCCCGGGGGGCCCTCGCCCGGCCTCGGCACCGTCAAAAAGCGGCTCAGGACGAAAAACCGGTCCCGGGGAAAGGGTCGGGATTTCTAGGGACGCCGCCCTGAAAACATCGGGACGTCGCATGTCTGGGGCGCCCCCCCCTCGATGCGACACGATGCGAAGCGACCACCGTTGCGGACAACGTCCGGGCCTACTCAAGATCGGGTGGGCGAGGCCGTGGCCTCTGGAATCTGGTGTGCCTGGGCAACATGCAATGCGAGACAAACGCGCAAAACATTAGGGGGAGGGACGGGGGGAGGTCGGTCCTTGGGGCCCCCCCTCCGCCCATGCAAGTAAACTTGCCGGGGTCCACAAGAAAAGCAGGCTCCAAGGCCCCCACGGCAGCTGCGCTCCGGGCGGGCGCCGGCCGCGGGCGCGCCGGGCACGCCGCCCGCGAGGGGCGCTGCCCCTGCGGCCCGCCGCCCGCGAGAGCGCGGCCGGGCCGCCCGCGTCGCGGGGCCGGGTAAAACGGCTGCCTGGGGGCCTCTGGTCGGCTGCTGAGGGTGACCTTTCGCCGGAGTGACCTCTGGTGCGGGCATTTTCTTCGGGTGGAGGGCAGAGGGTGAACTCCGAAAGGGCGTTTCGATGGATTTTCGAGGCTCGAGCCTGCAAAGGGCGAATCACCAGACGGATTGGTTTTCGAGGCGCAACAGCCCATCTGGATTTCACCCTGAGCCCTCCACCCTGAGAAACCGCTGAGTTGGTGCGGGCCCAATGGGGTCCCCCGATCGCTGATCGTGGAGCGGTAGCAGCGGCTTGCGCGCCCGGGTTTGGCCTTCCCGCGTCCCCCGTTGAGTCGCGCACCAAAGGTCCTCCTTGCCCAGGGTCACTCTTACGTGTAGCCGATTTTGGAGGTCCAGGGAGGCGCTTTGGAGACTTCATGGTCGGCGACTTGAGCGGCTTCTTGGGGGGGCCTTTGTCGGGGCCGAGGGGACGGGGGTCCATGCAAGCGGGGGTCTGTCAGAGCGCCAGATTTTCCAGGACCTTGCAGGGCCAGGGTTGCACTGTCCCGGGCTAGCGTGCAGGATTCTGAAGGCTCTTGCAGGATCTTGCAGGACCCTGTGGGGCCTGACTGACTCGGGTTTGGATTGACCCGGGTCACTAGATCCCCGATTTTTGTCTACGGACCGGCCTTTGGTAGACTTCTCATGGGCGGCGATTATACATTGTGTGGTTACGCTGGGGTGTGTTTTGCGATCTCAGCGCCGTTGGGGCCGCGATGGCACGACGCTGTGCTCGTCAGGCCTCCTCCGGGCCTGGCGGAGAACTTGATCGAAGTCCCCGCCCGCCCCCCAGGTTGTCCCCCAGGGGGCGGGCTGCAAACCACACCCTTTGCAAACCACACCCGTCGGAGTCGCCGACATGGGTCCTGAGGGATTTGGGGGATATTTTGGGGCTTTGTGGGGCCCTTTTTTTGGACGGCGGGATGAGTGCGTAAAGAGGTGTTGAAAAAATGAAAGCGGAGGTTTTTCGTTGCGCTCGGGCTCTAGGCGGCCCCAGGCAGAAACAGAACGGCACAGGATACAAAAAAAACGCGGTTTAGTGGAAGGAAGGGGTCGAGATTTCCGGGGATCCCGTCTTGAAAAAGTCAAGACGTTGTGAGTACGTTTGCGACGGCAGGTTGGTGTCGTGTCGAAGCGACGGCGACCCCAGCGGTTGGCCTAGCACGGGCGTTCGAGGTCGAACGCCGCAAGAGGCCAAGAATCGGCTGACGTCAATCGGCTTGCGCAATCGGCAAGTCACAAACGTTCAGGGCTGTTGGATCCATGCGGTGCCAGAGACCGGAGCCGACGTTGTCGCGAAGTGAATCCACCGTATGCCGTTTCTTGGGTCCAAGTTGCGAGGGTAAATTGTTGTAATTGTTCTTCCTCCTCCTCCTTCTTCCCCCTCTCCTCTTCTTCCTCATTGACCCTCCCTTCCCCTTCCTCGCCTTATTCAATATTCTCCTCCTCATTTACCCCGCTTGAAAGAGTGCCCAGCATGCTGAAGTCGAAGACCAGGACATCCAACGGTTCGAACAGGTCGAGCGGGCCCGATGTTCACCAGTCTGGGCCCCTTGCGGGGGGCCGATCATCGGCCCCAGGGCCATCAGAACACGACTCGAGATGGTAACCTCGCCCCGCGGAATGGGTCGAGAGGTCTGGGGGGGGCCAAGTCTGGAAAACATCGGGACGCAGGATGTCTCGCGTATGGCGGTGGTGGTCACGGCTCGATTCGGCGGTGCAAGTGGAGGAGCGAGGGGGGGGACCGAGGGATTGCGGTACGCTTCGAGGAAGCAGCCTCGGCCACGGACAACCAGCGACGAGCGGGGAGCAGCAGGCGGACATGGAGGAGGAGGGAGGAAGGAAGAAAGGCAGGCAGGCAGGCAGGCAGGAAGGAAGGAAGGAATGAAGGAAGGAAGGATGAGGAGGATAGACAAGGGAGGAGGAGGAGGAGGAGAAGGAGGAGGAGCAGGAGGAGGAGGAGGAGCAGGACGACGACGAGGAGGAGGAGGACGAGGAGGACGAGGAGGAAGTGGAGGGACCTGAGGGTCCTGATGATGCGGCCCATGTCGTTGGGCCCTGGCGCGCAGGCCTCGCCGCCCCAGCCGCTGAGCCTGCGCCGAGGCATCGGGGGCCGAGCCCTGGTGGGCCCAGCCGAGGCAGATGTTCGAGCAGCGCCCCGCGGCGGCGACCCGCTGCTGGCGGAGAGCTTGCACTGCGGCCCCCCAGAAACCGAGGCTGGCGAGGCACACGGCTCACACCCTTTGCGTGGTCGTGTTCTTGTTCGTTGTCTTGCCGATCGGCGCGGGCCGTCGCACTCCCCCCCCCCGTGAAGTGGAGATGGGACGTTTTTTGGCGCCTGCTTTAAGCATGTGGAGTCTCCCCCATAGGACACATTATTGTAAACGTTCGCGCTAAGCAGAGGTCTGAAGCCAGACCCCCTCCTCCCCCCCCGAATCCGCCCAATGTCGAAACGCCGAATAAGAAAACGTTGACCACGTTCACTGCAATATGAAAGCTTCAACCTCGACCGACGATGTTTTGAATCGCAGCACCGCGCCAGAACCACTGACGCGCCTCCTCTGGTGCCGTAGCCAGAAGAGGCGCCGTGGGGCCTTTGAGCGCTGTGCTTGCTAAGCCATCGAGGCTACGGACTACTACGACTCACACCCCTCAGGCCCTGATGCAGGGCCGCATCTGGTCGATGACGGCGGCCCCGAACCTCTCCACGGCCTCCGCCAAGAGCACGTCGGTGGTGACGTCGTCCGCGGAGCTGTAGTGAAGGGCCGCATCTGGTCGACGACGGCGACCTCGAACCCCTTCACAGCCTCCGCCGAGAGGACGTCGGTGGGGACGCCGCCGTCCGCGGAGCTGCAGACCTTGCCGAGCACGAGGAAACCTGCGCCGTCGTGCTTGATCTTCATGCTTTTGTCTGTGCCCTTCCCTTTGAGCTTGCCCTTGCCCTTGCCCTTAGCTGAGCCTTCCTCCATCCCAACTCATTGGCCATGTCACGGACCTTCCCAGCGCCCAGGCCTGCGTCCAGAACGCTCCAGGGTGAACCGCTTGAATTCCAACGAGCAGCGGCTGGTGCAGAATGATCTGCGTCCGAGCCCATCTCGTTGGCCATTCTCTATGTCACGTATTCGCTCACGATGTTATGGTCGTCCTGCTTGTGGATGTCAGTGCCGCCGTTCGAGTCCGAGTCCTTGTCCACCCCTTCGCTCTCGTACACCTGCACGACATGAAAGCGACGTCCTTGAGGTCCTTGATGCGTTCGCGTTCCATCCCCATGCTGATGATGATGATGATGATGATGATGATCATGATCATGATGATGATGATGATGATGATGATGATGATGATGATGATGATGATGATGATGATGATGATGATGATGATGATGATGATGATGGGTCACAGGTGGGTCACAAATGTGGAACTTCTCCGTGCCAGTCCGGCCCTCGAAGCCCTTCACTTCTTGGACCACTTGTTCTTTCTGGGGAAATTTGGAGCTGTATCCGAAAGGCTTCGGCCCCGCTTCCTCACGCGGTCGTCCTTGTCCAGGCTGGGTGAAGGACTGGGCGAGTTCTTCATGATGTCCTTGATCTTGTGTTCCCCTTCTGGGGCTAGCTCACCTGGTCCTCAGTGACGCCCTTGTTGGTGTGGATCTCCTTGCCCTGCAGCTCCATCACCGCCTCTGCCCGCGTCAGCGTGATGAATTGTGGTGGAGCTCTTGAGCACTTCATACAAGCCGCCCTGAAGCCAAAGCTCGCGTTTTGGCAGCTCTTGACCACACACTGCTACTTGGGGACCCCCTCCACAGGCATCGTGTCCGAGATCGCGTCGCCTAGCTATATCTCCGCTGGGGGCAGAGGGGGCCTTGGGATGACCTGCCACTCGCCCTTCTTGACCTTTGCCCTGCTCGGCGGTGTCTTTGGCCGCCTGGGTGTTGTCGAGCGAGTCTCCTTCGTCACATCTGACGCCGGCTCCTGTGCCGTCGATCTTGAAGGTGTCGCCCTTTCCGCAGCAGAAGGCGTTCTCATCCTGCCAATGATGATCATCGCCTCCAGCGCCATGTCTGTGACCATCTCGTCCTTCATGCGCGCTGGCATGCAGGGCAGGAGCCCGTACGCCAGCATCTTGGGCAGCTCGGTAGCCATCGTCGTAGATGATCAGCTGCGCCGCCTTACCGAAGCCCGCCGAGTACTGCCTGAGGCTCTTGCCGACACCCAAGGCGAGCAGTCCGCAGGGCATGCATATGGTCGCCATGTCATGCCATGGCTCGGCCGCGCATCGCCGCTTTGAAGTGCGCGCGGCCACGCTCCGGCACCCCGCCAGAGCCAGAGCGGCTTGAGCCGAAATAGCTACGGATGAGGAAGCGGAGGAAGAGGCATGAGGAGGCAGGATGAGGCAGGAGGAGGAGGAGGAGGAGAAGGAGAAGAAGAATGAGGATCGGCAAGGGAAGCACTCTGATAAGGCAGGTGCTACTCTCGCTTTGGACTTGATCAAGCCTTTGTTTTTCAAACCCTCTTCCCGTGCTGCCGTTGTTGCCTCTATATTCGACAGCTCTTGCTCGAGGCGCCGTAGATGGCAAAAAGAGGAGACTGAGGATCAGCAGCAGCGGAGGAGGAGGAGAAGGAGGAGGAGGAGGAGGAGGAAGCGGAGGAGGAGGAGGAGGAAGCGGAGGAGGGGGAGGAGGATGAGGAGGAGGAGGACGACGAGGAGGAGGAGGACGAGGAGGAGGAGGAGGAGAAGAAGAAGAAGGAGGAGGGAGGAGGAGGAGGATGAGGAGGGGTAGGAGAAAGAAGAGGAGAGTGAAGATCAGCGTGCTGCATGGAAGGCCGTTGTCGGCGTCTGCCCTGGGGGCACGCCCTTACCGTGCACACTGGCGGGCGGGGCCAAAAGGCTGCACTCCGTCGGGGTCCTTCGGGTGGGGTGCGGCTGGCCGCGGCGCCGAGGGAACGCTCTTCACCGCACTGCGCGGCGCCGAGCCGCACCCGCAGCACGGCACCGCGTGGCATCCCTGCAGAGCATCGCACCGAGTCGCGTGCTCTCCTCCGCCTGCCCGCTCGTGCGTCCGGCCTTGAGAGATGCCCGCTCGGATGAGGAGGAGGAGAATGGAGCGAGGAGCAGGAGGAAGAGGGGGGAGGAGGAACTGGGAGGTGGGCCCCTTGCCTCAATCCTCACTGGTCTCTCCCCCCCTCTCCTCTCTCTCTGTCGTTTCATACCTCTCTCTCTCCCTCTCTCTCTCTCTCTGCTTTCCATTGTCGCAGTCGTGTGACTGCCAGAGGAGGACGGAGGAAAGATCGGAGGCGGGAGAGGAAGGAGGAGGCGGTCTCGCAGGAGTTCCGAGGGCGTGGAGGAGACCGCCCCCAGGAGCCTCGAAGACCCAGGAGGGGTTCATGAAGTTCGTGGCCCTGCCGCTCTTCTGCGCCCTGGAGCGGGCGGCACCCTCGGCGAGGCCCCTCCTCAGCCACCGGGCTGGCCCTAAACGCTGTTTTGCTGGACTTCGAAGGTGTTTTGTTTTCCGTTTTGGGAGGGAGGTACAGGAAAACGGGAAGAACAAAACGAAGAACAAGATGAAACAAAACGAAAAACAACGTTTAGGTCCAGCCCTGCTCAGCCACGCGCAGAGGGGGGCTATGGGGGAGGGCGGTGAGTTTCTTAGAGGCACCCCTGCTTCTCAGCAGGCGCCGGCCCTGTCTGTAGATGTAGGACCGGCGCCTTCTAAGAAGCGGCCTCCTTCTGAGATGCCCTCCCCCCTCCTCCGCCCACCTGTGTGCGCCGCATGACCACCGCCTTGGGGATCGATCTTCGCGGACCTCCACATGCGATGGCTATGGATGCATTCGGGCCCCCAGGGGCCAAAATGTATCCATATCCGGCGCCTTCTAAGAAGAAGCGGCCTCCTCCTACTCCTAAGAAGCCCTTCCCCCCTCCCTCGGGCCGGACGAAAGGGGGGGATTGGGAAAGGGGGGATTACGAAATCGGTCTCCGCCGCCGGGCCCATTCCTCGATACATAGCCGCCTCTGGCGCCGGGAGGCGCCGGGAAAATCAGCCACGCGAGCTGATTCTCAACCCCCCCCCCTGGTATCCCCCCCCTTTCGCCCGGCCGGAGTTCGCTACAGTCAGCCCGCAGAGGAAGGATGCGCGATGAGGACGCGGGGGCCTTTTGGGCGGCCACCTCGGAGCCTTCCGCGCGGGGCGCGGCCAGCGAAAGTGGCCCAAGGATGGGCCGAGGAGGCCAGGTTTCGAGAGTACCCCCTGGGAGGGTGGCCCATCCTCGCTGTGCGGATGGAGACCTCCCAGACGGGTGGAGACCTCCTAAGGATCGGAGGCTGATAGACCTCCTGTCTGGACACGCCGACTAGCGAATGGGCCGTGTTCGGTTCGCGAGAGGGCGTCGCGGCCGTCATTCTTGCGGGTCCAGGTCCGTCGGTTTCGGTCCCAGGCCGTTTTCATTAAAGGGTGGTTTGCTAAAGGGAGGTTTGTCCACCGCCGAAAGAAGCCCTTCCCCCCCTCCCCCTGCACGCCCCCCCTGTGGGCGCCGCCAACCTCCGGCCTCGCGGCGCTGGCCTCGACGGGTTGTCGCCTCCCGCCCGGGCGGCCACACAAGCAGGTCCACGAGGGCCTTCAACGACGGCAGAGAAAAACGCCAATCGAATGGCATGCGGGGACGTTCCATACAGGCAAGAGCCATCGCGGAAGAGGAGGAGGAGGAAGAGGAGGAGGAGGAGGAGGAGAAGGAGGAGGAGGAGGAGGAGGAGGAGCAGAAAGCATAGGGAGGAGGAGGAAGGCGGAGGAAGAGGAGGAGGAAGAGGAGGAGGAGGAGGAAAAGGAAGGAATAGACCTATGGTCGCGAGTGGGCAGCCCACACCAGTGAGCATACCTCCATGCAAGCGGAGGCGGACACCGATCATTATTCTTCGCTCTCCCTGCCTCCCCAGCGGGAGCTGCTTTCATCTCATTGTACATCTCGCCGATGGGATCTCACGGCGATGGCCAGCCGTCCAGCGCTCGCCAACGGCGAGAGGGCTCTCGCTCGCCGCTTCGTTCGCTCTCAATTGCTGATGATGATGCTTTACGTAAGCACGTGGGACGACACCAAGACCCACATTATGGAGTCAGTGGCCGCAGTGCAGCGCGCCATGTCCCAGCTCACCGACTCGGTCGATCGCCACTACTCGTCAGTCGACCAGATCATCCAGCAGCGCTTTACTGAAGTCGAGAGGCGTCTGGACAACACCGACTAGACCGTCGCTGCGTTGCGAGCCGAGCTCGACGCGCTCAAAGCCAAGGTCAATGTCGTCTCCACCGAGACTCCCGCTGCAGCTGCCGAAGGTGTTATCAACAGGGAGTTTGATATAGAGAGATCGACCCCACCATCATCATCGTGCGCTGCCCCCACATGGTGCCGCGTGATCGAGTTCTTCAGGCCATCAGTTCTTGGCCCTCCGAATCCAATTTGGAAGAGGACTCCTGGCAGCTTCGTGGCGACCCCGCCGCGAAGTGCTTCACCATCAAGTGCAAGGGCGCCACAGGCTGGGCTGCTCGTCGAGTGTGCCAAGCCATGGGTGCCTTCAGGTTGGCCAATGGGGACTACAGGCGTTCCAACATTCAGGCCAGCGGGAATAACCTCCCGACCGAGCTGTTCATGTCTTTCGATAAGAATCCCAGCCAGATCAAACTCGAGATTGCCACAAAGACTGCTCGCAAAACGTTGCTGGAGCTGTACCCGTCCATGCGCTTCTTCGTGGATGGCCACGCCGGCGTTGTATCATCGCAGTGGAAGCCGTTGGTCAAGATCATGCCCAAGACGGACAACTCCATGCCGACCCTGGAGTACGAGAGCGCCAACATCCGCGCGCTCAACATCGACAGGAGTAGGATCGAGCCCGCCCTGCGGGATGCATTTGCCAGCGCTGTTGACAGCGCTACGTGGAGCCTTTAGCCGCCTGTTCCGCGTCCTTGGGGGGGGCGCCTCTTTCACCGCGATCCCCGCGCCCGCTCGTCCAAGCTCTCCTACCTCACGCCTCTCCTCAGACCCAAGTCCATCATAGCGTTGCAAGAGATTCATGGTAGCATTCACGACCTCTCCGACTCCCTCTACTTCTCGCGTCGCTTCTTCAGCGGGCAAGCTTCCTTTACTGACTCGCGTGGGCGAGGTGGTGTTGCGACGATCTTCCCCGCCCTGACCGTAGAGAACGGATTCCATGAGATGGCCCAGTGCGAGTCCGAGATTTTGGTCTCAGGGAGAGTCTTGCACTGCCGATTTGGATCTTGGGCCGATCTCCACCGTTCCTGCCCCCCCCCCCCCCACCCCACCCCCCACACTTTATCATCTCCCACTTCGACGTCCACAATCTTGGTTTGGACAATGATATGACCAGGAGAGTTATCGACCGGATCAAGTAAGAGCTCGCCCTCGCTCGTCTTGCCCCTGATCGGTATGTCCTTGTGCTCGCTGGCGAGCTTAACCTCTGTGCGGAGCCGCCGCAGCAGAGTATGCCGACAGCTCTTCTTGAGCCTCACGCTGCTCTCCATGAGCGGCGACGACAGAGAGCATCTGCCTGGCAGGAGATTTTTGCAGCGCCGGTGGAGATTGATTGCTCTGAACCTACTCACTATAACGGAGCCCAACAGCATACCTCAAAGATAGACAGAATATTCATCCGCCTTCCTGGTCACGATCTGACTTGTCTACAGGTTTACGTTAACGCATGCGAATACCCCGAAACACTTGAACAAAAAGGAATATCAGATCACGCCGCCCTGCTCGTTCACCTCCGCCACCGCGAGCCCCCCGATGCGGATGCCCGCCCAATCGCCAAGCAGTTTTTTTTTGTTTTCAGCTCCCGCTGTTTAAGCAGCTTGTCCAGCAGACCTGGGAGGGGAGTGACGTCTCGGCCCTCAGCCCGCCCCAGAAGTTGCTTGTCTACAAGGAGGTTTTGAGAGAAGGTGCCCGACAGGCTCGCAGTGCCCTCCTACGAGATGCCCCTCAAGACCCAGCTGCTCAACTATTACTCTTGAGGTCTATTTGCAGATGTGTTTGGAGAAATGATATGACCCTTGCCCGAAAGCCGATGATGTACCCCCTGGCCCAAGAGCTTGTCAATGTGGACCCCGAGACCTCCAGGGCCTCCCTATCGGACCTTCAGAAATTCTCTGATGTGCTGCACGACCTGCAGCTTCAGGAACCCACGCGTGAGCAGCGCAGGGTCGCGGACCAGCTGTCTGCCACGAAGTCGGAGTCCAAGCGTTCCAAGCTTCGCCAGCGCCTCAGACGTCTGGTCAGGCGCAGCCGGCTTTGGGCCCCCTTTGACCGTCGCCTGCAGTTGATTGGGGTTCGCTCAGGCAACCGCATCTTGACTGACCAGCTCGAGATGCAAAATGCGATCGCTACGCACTGGGGACAGGTATTCCAGAAGAAACCAGTGGATGACATCGCAGGGCAACTATACTTGGATCGTTGGTGTACCCAGTTTGACCTTCGTGACCTCCCTCCCCCTCGTTATCATGACATGGAGAAATATATCAGGCACTTCGCGGACTCGGCCTCTGGTCCTGATTCTATTTATTATAGTGCATATAAGTATGGCCCATATGCTTGCGACGTGCTCTTCGAGGCCATCTCGTGGATCCTCATCGGGCGCCCCATGTTTAGGGGCTTCAACTCGGTTCTGACGGCGTTTATCCCCAAGGGTGAGGAGGAGGAGGACGTTCAGAATCAACGTGTTCGTTCGGCTAGTGCTCTTCGTCCCATAGGCTTCAAAAGCACTGACAACAATATCATTGTTGCGGTCTCGTTCCTCCAGCGAAACAAGATCATGCCTTCGTTCTCGGCCAAAATACAGCGTGGGTTCATCCGTTCTACAAGTTTCGGAAACAACATTGTTGAACTTGACGCCATCTCTCATATTCATTATCTGTCGCCGTCGGCTCTGGTTGACCTCCCCGCCCTGATCAGCTTTGTCTTCGGGCAGGCCTTCCCCAGCCTCAGCCACCAATGGCTCCACCGAGTGCTGAGTTCCATGCAAGTCCAAGACCCACTTCGAGTTCTGGCCCACACGATCTACACGGACGCGATGTGCTAGGGAGCGCTCATGACAGCCACCCTCTTCATGTTCATCCCGGACTGCGGGATAATCCTAGGGCGCCCTGCGTCGGGCACGCTCTTCGCCATTGCCACAGATTGCTTCTTCAGAGATGGAGGCCACGCTTGCTCGTCACGCCGCAGGCATCGCCCGTGCCTGCGCTGATGACGTGGGTGCATCACTCCGCCGATTGGATCACCTTCGCCCCCTGCACCGCGCGTTCTCGACCGTCGAGCGGACCTCGGCCCTGGCGCTGAAGCCGACGAAGTGCAAGATCGCGCCGCTCGCCGCGGCCTACACGCCGACCATCGCCCGTAGATGTGTGGGATGGCTCGCCAGGCATCTGCCCTCATGGGCCTGCTTTGAGATCGTTCATGTGCTGAAATACCTTGGCCTCTGGTTAGGGCTGGCCGCGCTTCTCCACTCCTGGAGAGCCCCCCGTCGCCAAATAGTTGGACCGCGGCTCGAGACTGGCTTCCCAGGGTGCGCCGTTTTCTGTCACGGCCCAAAACTATGAAAGCAGAGTGGCCTCGGCGTTAAGCTATGTCTCACAATGTTTGCCCCTGCCTGCGGAAGCTGCAAGACAAGAGCCAGCCATGTTTGCGCGTCTTTTTCGGACCCCGAACTGCGTGATTCCCCGTGCGGGGTGGTTCGAGCTTGCCCAGTGGGGCGGCCCTCGAGTATCGAGTATCCAGGCTACTTCCATCGCCGCGCTGGTCCGCGCGAGTCGCCTCCACCTTGTTTCATGGCGAGAGATGCCCCCTGCTCTCTCAGCGGTTGCCGAAGAGCAACTCCCCATCGTCCAGCGGGTCATCCACCACTCGCTTTCGCCCTCGTTCTGGCTCCTCCCTTCGTTCTGTGAGTTCCTTGCTGCTGCTGATGCTGCCTTCCCCCGCCCCCTCGACTCCCATCTTGTGACGTCCAACGCTCGCTCCCATTGGTGCGTCTCACGCGCCGCCAAGCTTGCCATCGAATCACTCGCGATTGCTATCGCTGAGGCACCCGACCCCAGCAAGCTCAAAGTTCAACGTCATTTAAAGATCAAGATTTCAGAGAATCTTCACCCCCTGTGCCTGTCTGAGGCGTTTGCCTCTCGGTTGGCCCAGTGGATGCCTATCTCCCTTCCCGAGGCCCGTGGTCTTCCGTGGGATGCCCTGCGGTCCGAGCTTTCGCGTTTCAGTGTTTCTTTCTCGATGGCCGTTCTGAAGGTTTTGATGGGCGGATGGGCCACCGACACGAGGTTTCAAGAACTCTCGCCATGCATGCTTGGTTGCCGGGATGGGTTTGACGATCTTGCCCATTATTGGAGTTGCCCGCTTTTCACACGCCACCTGGCGGCTCTGCTTCATCTCGACGTCCACGTCTTTCTGTCCACCTCTCCTGTTGGTCGCCTTGGTATTGCTCTCCCCTCTCGCTCGTCTCTCCGTGTTCCTGCTGCTGCCGCCATCCTGTTCACACATCTGCACTCCCAGCCCGAGCGCCCGATCTCGGCCGACAAAGTCGGCCTCATTATCCCCGCAGCGAGGTGGGCGCTAGAGCGGCTGTAGACAGACGGACGTGGCGCGCGGCCGCGTGCGAGGAGGAGGAGGAGGAGGAGCAGGAGCAGCAAGAGCAGGAGCAGGAACACGGGGTGGGAGGGAAGATGAAGGGAGTGAGGGAGGATGCAGAGCGGAGGAGAGAGGAGGAGAGCCGGCGGGAGGGGGGAGGGAGGAGTTCGGAGGAGGAGGAGGAGGAGGACGAGGAGGAGGAGGAGGAGGAGGAGGGCAAGGAGGGAGGGAGGGAGGGAGGGAGGATGGAATAGAGGGAGGGGGTGGGGATGTGGGGGTAACGGAAGGGCAGGAGGGTGGGGTGGCGGCACCTCCCTTTTCCGACAGCCGCGGCCGCGCTGGGCGAGCATCGGCAAGAACGGCCCCCCCCGCGCCGGAGGCCCCTCCTCGTGCGCGTCTGCCGCAACTGCGAGCGCGGGAGCGATCCGGCCGCCTGCACGCAGGTGGCGTCGTCGTCGTCGTCGCCGCTGTCGCCGTCTTCGGCGTCGTTTCCGTCGTCGTCGTCGTCGTCGTTTATCGTGGTCGTCGCTTATCGTCGTCATCGTTTATCGTCGTCGTCGTCGTTGTCGTCGTCGCCTGCACGCAGGCGCCGCTGTCGCGCATCACCAGCGCGAGCACGCAGGCGCTCGGGGACCTGAGCGCCAGCACCCAGGCGGGTCCGAGACCCCGCCCGCCCCGCATCGGGCTGCCGCTTGCTGCCTCCTCCTCCTCCTCTTCGCCCCCATTGTACTCCTGTTTTTTTTCTTTCCCCCTCCTCCTTCCTCCTCTCCTCCTCCTAGTTTTTCTTCCACCTCCTCCCACCTCGTCCTTCCCCTCCTCCTCCTCCCCCCCACTCCTCCTCCTCCTCCTCCACCTAGTCTTCCTTCTCCTCCTCCTCCTCCTCCTCCTTCTCCTCCTCCTCCTCCTCCTCCTCCTCTCTCTCTTTTTCCTAGTCCTCCTTCTCCCCCTCCTCCTCCACCTAGTCCTCCTTCTCCCCTTCCTCCTCCTCCTCCTCCTCCTCCTCCTCCTCCTCCTAGTCCTGGGTTCTCCCCCTTTTCCCTTCTCCTTTTTTCTCATACCTTCTCCTGCTCCTCCTCCTCCTCCTATCTCCCGTCTCCCTCTCCTGAACGAGGCGGCCTCTGGAGATCCCTGGAGGAAGCCTCCGGGTGCCGCACACCGCCCAAAGTCCGCTCCCTCTTCCAATCCAGCCTTCCGGCGGTTCGCTGTTTTCGAGACGTGGGCCTCGGGACCTCTCGACCCCGTCCCTTGTGCCGACGGTTCATGCAAAGCCGTCCCTGAATGGTCCTGGAGCCCACCCGCAACCTCCACAGGCCAAGAAGCGGAAAGACTAGCCGTATTGTTTTTTATTTTCGAGACGCCCAACGTACTTCTGGGACACGGGGTAGTTTCGTGGCGCCCCAGAGGTCCACGGAGGTCCTTGGAGGACTGCTGCGTCCCAACAAGGGCCAACTCCGTCCAAATATTTGGCTCATCGATTTTCCTCCCCCTCCCCCTCCCCCTCTTCCTCCTCTCCTGACCTCCTCGCTCCCCTGTCTTCTTGGTCGTGCTCTTGTTGCCACATCCCCCCTTCCTAGGCTCGTGTGCTCCTCCTACTCCTCCCCACCAGCCCAAACATCTGCGGGCATCTCTTTGTTGCAACATGGACCTCCTCTCGACCCCGTCCTTGGGGCGAGCTTTTCATCCCGAGTTGTTCCCGATTGCCATGGGGATCGAAACGGGCGCCCAGCGGGCCCAGACGGCGAAATACTTTCCCTCTCGACGTTCTCGAGCCGCCAGATGTCTGGGAAACGAGGTGGCCCCCGGGTGCTGGCGACGGCGGCCACGCTGGCGACGACGGCGATGGCGCTGGCGGCGCCCGCGGCGACCTCGACGGCGGCGACGGCGGCGGCGGCGACGGCGGCGGCGGCGACGGCGCCACCGGGGGAGGGGCCCTTTCGGAGCCTCGCTCCGCGGCGGCCATCCCTCCCCACGAGTCGGCGGTGGCCCACGACGAGCTGGAGTTCTGCTGCGTCGAGCAGGTGGCGTGGCCACGGGCGACCCCCCTGGCTCTCCTTCTCTTCGCATGGAAGAAGCCAGACCTCCAATGCCTCAGCAAAAGCATCCAGGCGAAGGATCCAACCACATGCAAGCGCGAGGACGTACCGCAAGTCAGGAGGGGCGAAGGAGGGGGGGCTCTGTATGGGGCCACGAAGCGAGGGCGGGCTGTGCCGAAATGGTCGAGGAGCTGCATGTGGACGCACCCACTATAGGGCCACAGGCGGAGCTCCAAGTGGAGCCACCAGGTGAGCGGGGAGCTGCATGTGGACGCACCCGCGGGGGCCTTTAGTGGAGCTCCCCATGGAGCCACGAAGCGTGTGAGGGGCGCGCCAAAGCGAGCTCGGAGGCGAATGTGGGCACACCCACTGCGGTCTTAGGTGGAGCCCCTCCTTGGGCCACGAAGGGTTTGAGGGGTGTGCCGAAATTGGCGGGAAGGCGCATGTGGACGCACGCGCTGGGGCCCCTAGCTGGAGCTCCCCCTGGGGCCTCGAAGCGTGCGAGGGGTGTGCCGAAGTGGGCGGGGGTTTCCCACAATTTTGGGCCTCTGTGGGCCCACGCTGGGCCCCGGGACCCTCAAACAACGAGTCAGGACGAGCAGCTGGCCCTGGGAAAAAAGTGTCGGGACTTCGGGGACCTTGCATTGAGCAATCAAGGCATCTGACGTCTGGACCCCGCTCGGCAAAAAGGAGACGGGCCGTGGAGGAAGGAAGCGGGTCCTGGAAGTTGTTCGCGTTTTTTCTGGCCCCCGGGGCCCTCCACTGGCCCAAGGCGCCGTCCACGAAGCGATTGGAGGAAGAGTGGATCCTGGGGAAGGTCCCTACGTAGGGTTTGGGACACGTCTCCCGAGCATGGCGGCCCGCGCAAGTCAGGAGGGGGACAAAATTATCCAGGCGAAGGACCCAACCACATGCAGTTGTAAGTACCGCAATTGTGAATAGCTTCTTCGGTGGCGGTCCCCATGGGGCCACGAACGCTGCACTTGGTGGGGGGACCGCATGCGGGCACTCCCACTGGGGCCTTCGGTGGAGCTCCCATTCGGGGCAACGAAGCGCTGTACTGGATGGGGGACCGCATGCGGGCACCCCCACTGGGGCCTTCGGTGGAGCTCCCTATGGTGCCACGAAACGCTGCACTGGGTGGGGGGGAACCGCATGCGGGCACCCCCACTCGGGCCGTCGGGGGAGCTCCCTATGGGGCCACGCAGCGCTGCATTGGGTGGGGGGACCGCGTGCGGGGGGGCGTTCGGTGGAGCTCCTTATGGGGCCACGAAGCGCTGCACTGGGTGGGGGGACCGCACGCGGGCACCCCCACTGGGGCCTTCGGTGGAGCTCCCGATGGGGCCACGAAACGCTGCACTGGGACCGCACGCGGGCACCCCCACTGGGGCCTTCGGTGGAGCTCCCTATGGGGCCACGAAGCGCTGCACTGGGCGGGGGGGGGAACCGCATGCGGGCACCCCCACTCGGGCCGTCGGTGGAGCTCCCGATGGGGCCACGAAGCGATGCAATGATTGAGGAACCGCATGCGGGCATCCCCACTGGGGCCTTCGGTGGAGCTCCTTCTGGGGCCACGAAACGCTGCACTGGCGTTCCCACTGGGCCGTCGGTGGAGCTGCCGATGGGGCCCACGAAGCGCTGCACTGGGTGGGAGGTCCGCATGCGGGCACCCCCAGTCGGGCTGTCGGTGGAGCTCCCTATGGGGCCACGAAGCGCTGCACTGGGTGGGTGGACCGCATGCGGGCACCCCCACTGGGGCCTTCGGTGGAGCTCCTTATGGGGCCACGAAGCGCTGCACTGGGTGGGGGGACCGCATGCGGGCACCCCCACTGGGGCCTTCGGTGGAGCTCCCATTGGGGGCCACGAAACGCTGCACTGGGTCGGGGACCGCATGCGGGCACCCCCACTGGAGCCTTCGGTGGAGCTCCCATTCGGGGCCACGAAGCGCTGCACTGGTTGGGGGGACCGCATGCGGGCACCCCCACTGGGGTCTTCGGTGGAGCTCCCATTGGGGGCCACGAAACGCTGCACTGGGTCGGGGACCGCATGCGGGCACCCCCACTCGGGCCTTCGGTGAAGCTTCCTATGGGGGCTTCAAAACGCTGCAATGGGTGAGGAACCGCATGCGGGCATCCCCACTGGGGCGTTCGGTGGAGCTCCTTCTGGGGCCACGAAACGCTGCACTGGCGTTCCCACTGGGCCGTCGGTGGAGCTGCCGATGGGGCCCACGAAGCGCTCCACTGGGTGGGAGGTCCGCATGCGGGCACCCCCAGTCGGGCCGTCGGTGGAGCTCCCATTGGGGTCCACGAAGCGCTGCACTGGGTGGGGGGACCGCACGTGGGCACCCCCACTGGGGCCGTCGGTGGAGCTCCCGATGGGACCACGAAGGTGGGAGGGGTGTGCCAAAATGAGGGGGGTGACGAGAGGAGGGAGGGGGAGGGGGAGGAGGAGGAGAAGAGGAGAGGAGGAACGCGGGGACCGTCTCTTCAAAACGAGGACCCAACACCACAGGATGGTTGGGGAAAACACGGACATAAGGAATCGTCGATTCCCAGGAACATGTGGGAAAATGTGGGAACTGGAGGGAAGACGAACATCCAGAAGATATGCGGATACATGGGGCATCCTGGGATTTGTGTCTATGTAGTTGTGTGTGTGTCTGTGTGTCTGTGTGTCTGTGTGTCTGTGTGTCTGTGTGTCTGTGTGCCTGTGTGTCTGTGTGTCTGTGTGTGTCTGTGTGTGTCTGTGTATGTCTGTGTGTGTCTGTGTGTGTCTGTGTGTGTCTGTGTGTGTCTGTGTGTGTCTGTGTGTGTCTGTGTGTGTCTGTGTGTGCCTGTGTGTGTCTGTGTGTGTCTGTGTATGTCTGTGTGTCTCTGTGTGTCTCTGTGTCTCGGTGTCTCGGTGTCTCGGTGTCTCTGTGTCTCTGTGTCTCTGTGTCTCGGTGTCTCTGTGTCTCTGTGTCTCTGTGTCTCTGTGTCTCTGTGTCTCTGTGTGTCTGTGTGTCTGTGTGTCTCTGTCTCTCTGTCTGTCTGTCTGTCTGCCTGTCTGCCTGTCTGCCTGCCTGCCTGCCTGCCTGCCTGTCTGTCTGTCTGTGTGTCTGTCTGTGTGTCTGTCTGTGTGTCTGTCTGTGTGTCTGTCTGTGTGTCTGTCTGTGTGTCTGTCTGTGTGTCTGTCTGTCTGTGTGTCTGTCTGTCTGTCTTTCTGTCTGTCTGTCTGTCTGTCTGTCTGTCTGTCTGTCTGTCTGTCTGTCTGTCTGTCTGTCTGTTTGTGTGTGTGTGTGTCCCTGGGCCCCTTTAGTAAGCCTCCCCCCCGATGCGCGGGTGATCTCGTCTGCACGCAGCTTTGACCCTTCGCCAGGGTGTGTGTCCTTTGGTGGGCGGCTTCTGGGGTGCGCGGGGTTGGGGGAGGGTACCCAAATGTTCTTCGTGCTTGAAGGACGTTCTTGTGAATCCTGGGGAGGGTACCCCTGGACGTTCTGTTTGTGTTGGCCGACGGAGGGTCCTACGTTCTTGAGAGATGCCACTGTGCTCAATGTCAGGTCTTCGTGCTGGCCGCCCTGCCCGCCCTGGTGGCAAAAGAGGGTCCTGAGCCTTGCCCGCCGTTTTCGGCTGCACGCAGCCTTGACCCTTCGCCAGGGTGTGTCCTTTGGTGGGCGGCTTCTGGGCTGCGCGGGGTGGGGCTGGGTGGGTGGCAGCCCAAACGCGCAGGCCGCGAGTGATCGTTTTCTGAGTCGTTGCTTTGCCGATCGGCGCGGGCCCTCGCGCCCTCGCCCCCCCCCCTCCCCTCCCCTCCCCATGGAGTAGATCTTGGCTGCTTTTGGCGCCTGCTTCGAGCAGGTGGTGGAGTCCCGCCCATAGGACGCACTGTTGCAAACAGTCGCGCTAAGCAGAGGTCCGAAGCCAGACACCCCCCTCCCCTCCTCCCCTCCTTCCGCCCAATGCCGAAACGCGGAATAAAAAAACCTTCACCTACTGTCGCACAAACTGCAACGACCCGGCAAGCCGCGCTGGGATCATCTCTTGCGCGTAGCCGAGTAGTATTTCCACGACGCCGTGATCCCTCACGTTGTCGGACGTCGGGGGATCTCAGCGCCAGCGGGCTCTCAGAGGAGGAACAGAGATCAGCGCCACCGAGAACCCGTCCCGGGGGACCCGCCCTTGGGCGGTGGCACGCCTGAGCGTCGTCCGCACTAGGTGACGTTCGGGCGTGCCAGCGCTCAGGGGTCGGCCCCGCCCGGTGGGGTGGATCCTTTCCCCGAGCGCGTTCCGCTACTCGCCAAGGGCCTGCTCGCGAACGTCCGAAACAATCATGTCTTCCCATATGTAATGGGGCGTAACCCCCCCCGCTGCGGATCCAGGCCATTTGCGAGCAGTTACTTCGCGAGCAGGGGAACGCTCTTGTCTGGCCTCGGTGGCGGTGCTCTCTGTTTCTCCCATGGCCCTGGCCCCGGCCACGGGGCCCCCGAGGAGCAGGTGCCCGGGGCCTCCGTCGTCCGCGGCCAGGAGGCCCGCTGCGAGCGGGCCGACCCCGAGGGCCTCCAGGGGGCATCGGAGGGCACACGCCCGAGCGATGCCAGAGTCTGCCACTCGCTCTCGCTCGCCCCCCCGCCCTGACGAGGGGAGGCACAGGGCGAGGAGCAGGAGCCCGACGCCGAGGGGAGACGAGAAGGGGAAGGAGGACGAGAGCACAGGACGAGGGGGGGGGGGAATCACCGCGACCCCGGCATCGCTCGGTCGTGTGGCTCCGAGGGGCACCTCCTCCTCGTCGTCGTCGTCCTCCTCCTCCTCCTCCTCCTCCCGGAGCACCGGTCCTCCACCACAGGGCTGGGCTCGGGCACAGGCAGCCACGGGCATTTCGGGCCAGGTCGGGAGGCCGCGTCCGCCCAGCAGGAGGGAATGGGGTCTCGGGGGGCAAGGGGAGCGATCGGCTACAGTCGGACCGAGGTACAAGATCGAGGTCGATTCCCAGGAACATGTGGGAAAATG